AAGAGCGGACAAACACCTGTGCTCCCGCACCAGCATTCAGAAGCCCACGGAGCCATTTGGAACGCTATTAGGGGGAGGGCGGGAATCCAAGTTACCACACACACACACACTGCTCTTTTTAGCTGTCACTGGAGTGCAGCAGCCACAGCCTGCCTTCTCCTGAAAAGGGAACCGACCTTGAGCGGGCGAGCACGATTCTCCAGCCCCGGATGGCAAATGGAACTGGACATCAAGGCAGTGATAAATGCCGTGGGCGACGCAGCAATTCTGCCCAAGTTGGAGGGCACCAATGTGTGTTTATGTCTCAAGGTTAAACTCATGGATGCCAACTAAGGCTCAGAAGATTCCCAGTTTACATGAGAGCCTGGCTGGAGCAAATCAGTGGTCCATCTAGTCCAGCATCCCTGATGTTGCCTCCTGGCTCTGGGATTCAGAGGTTGACTGCGTCTGAATTTGGAGGTTAAGAACATCAGAAGAGCCCTGCTGAATCAGACCAGTGGTACATCAAGTCTCCAGCCTCCTGTCTCACCCAGTGGCCAACCAGGTCCTCTGGAGGGCCAACAACAGGGCAGAGAGGTCGAGGCCTTCCCCTGAGAAGAACATCAGAAGAGCCCTGCTGGATCAGATCTAGTCCAGCAATACTGTCTCACCCAGTGGCCATCCAGTTCCTCTGGAAGTCCAACAACAGGGCAGAGAGGTCGAGGCCTTCCCCTGAGAAGAACATCAGAAGAGCCCTGCTGGATCAGATCTAGTCCAGCAATACTGTCTCACCCAGTGGCCAGCCAGTTCCTCTGGGGGGCCAACCACAGGGCAGAGAGCCCGAGGCCTTCCCCCTCATGTTGCCTCTTGGCTCTGGGATTCCTCTGAACGTGTAGGTTCCCCCTCCGTGACCATGGCTAGCTGCCATTCATAGACTTATCCTCCATGAATCTATCTAATCCCCCTTTAAAGCTCTTTACTCCTGTAGTCACCACGACATCCTCTGGCAGCGAATCCCACATTTTAATTGGTCTAAGTTACTTTCGGAGCTACGGTAGCTGTGCTGGTCTGCAGTAGAACAGCTCGATTTGTGTCCAGGAGTACCTCCCGAGACCAACAAGAGTTTTGGGGTATGAGCTTTCCAGAGCCAAAGCTCCCTTCCATAGAATCACAAAGTGGGAAGGGACCTCCAGGGTCGTCTAGTCCAGCCCCCTGCACAAGGCAGGAAATTCACAAATACCTCCCCCCCACACACACACACCCCGTGACCCCTGCTCCACGCCCAGAAGAGGGCAAAACACCACCACCACCACCCGGAATCTCCAGCCAAACTGGCCAGGAGAAAATGGCTTCCTGACCCCAAAGTGGCCATCAGCCTTTCCCTGGGCATGTAAGAAAGGGCCACGAGAACGAAGCCCTGATGCAACCCTCCCTCCTCATGATCTGCCTCAGTTCACAGAATCCGCACTGCTGTCAGAGGGCCCTCGAGCCTCTGTCTGAAAACTTCCACAGGAGAGCCCACCACCTCCCTTTGTCAGATACGTTTAAGTTGGCCACTTTGAGAAATGTGCAGTCGATGCATCACGAGGCCCACCAGTACGCTGCACCTGGGGAACAGAACCCCGTCTGTCTCTGGCCCTGTGGTACCAAGCGGCTGGCTCGTGTCAGTCCCAAAGGCGCCGTGGCCATTCTGTGCCCCTCCCTGACGTCTTGCCTGAGTCCACGGGTGGCCAGATCAGTCATGCGGGCAAGCGTGGTGCTGTAGAGGGTGGCATTCTCTACAGAGGACCAGGCGTGGCGTTTGTGACTCTTGTTTACCGCGATACACTACTGTGGCTGCACGCATCCCGCCCTGGCTCTGAAGCAAGGGGCTTTTCCTCCCCTAAAGGTTTCTGCTGAGCTCGAGGGGCCAACTGGCAAACAAGATTTAAATACATAAATGACTCCAGCCCGGCTGATGGAGCGCTTGGCTTCAGCACCCATCCGTGGCGCGGAGAGGGGGGCAGCGGGGGGACCTCCTTCCCCGGCCTTCGCCTTGCCAGCCTCGGCGGCCCCAGAGACAAACGGCTCCGAGAGAAGGCGAGGAAACGGCGCCAAGCCTTCGCAGCCGTTGTCAGATACCGTCTCCGCCGCTCATCTATTCTGGGCAACGGCACCGCGGCTCCTGTGCCAACCCTCTGCCATCTGCCACGGCAAATCCGTCAGCAGGCAGGGGCACGGCGCTCACGCTTCCTCTCTCTTATTTTCACCTCTGAGCGAGGGACGGACTCCTGTCGAGGGAGGAGAGGTGTGTGGGGGCGACAGGTGCTCCCCCCCCTCCGATCCCGCTTCCGAACGAGGCTCTTGCCCTTAGCTGCCCGCTCTCGCGGGGAGGGAGAGACGAGAGCGCACGCTGCCGGATAATGGGAAAGGACAGCCAGGACCGGCAGCGCGGCTGACGAGCCAGCGAGCTTTTCCTCGCGGAGGTTTTTTGCTTGGGTAACCAGCCAAGACGAAATCGCTGCCGTCACCGCCGCCACCCCTCGGTGCTGCTTTCAGCTACTCTGCTGACCCAGCCTGGGAGCTGGCAGCCAGCGCCTCCGAGAAGGAACAGCTGTCCACAGACGCTGCCGATCGGCTCAGGCCGAGGGGACGG